GCGCGACGAAGTTTTGTCAATTAATGCCAACATTGGCAAATATTGGCAGACGTAGGTGCGATGTTTTTTACCGGAATGAAAAAGTTGAAAAAGCACCAAACCATGATTATTGGACATGTTGGAGCGTATTGGGTGTGTTCGTGGCAAAATATCACTTCGTGATTCGCGTGGCGAACTTTTGTCAATTAATGCCGATATTGGCAAACGTGCGTGCGATGTTTTTGACCGGAATGAAAAAGTTCGAAAAGCACCAAAACATGATTTTTGGACATATTGGAGTGTATTGGGTGCGTCGTGGAAAAAAATCACTTCGTGATTCGCGCGGCGAGGTTTTGTCAATGAATGCCAATATTAGCATATATTGGCACACGTGGGTGCGATGTTTTTTGTCAAAATGAAAAAGTTCAAAAAGCACCAAAACATGATTTTTGGACATATTTGAGTGTATTGGTGCGTTCGTGGAAAAAACACACTCCGTGATTCGCGCGGCGAACTTTTGTCAATTAATGCCAATATTGGTACACGTGGGTGCGATGTTTTTCACCGGAATGAAAAAGTTCAAAAAGCACCAAAACATAATTTTTGGACATGTTGGTGTGTATTGGGTTCGTTCGTGGCAAAAAATCACTTCATGATTCGCGCGGCGAACTTTTGTCAATTAATGCCAATATTGGCACACGTGGGTGCGATGTTTTTGACCGGAATGAAAAGGTTGAAGAATCACCAAAAAATGATTTTTGGACATATTGAAGTGTATTGGGTGCGTTCATGGCGAAAAATGACTTCGTGCTTCGCGCGGCGAACTTTTGTCAATTAATGCCAATATTGAGACACGTGGGTGCGATGTTTTTGACCGGAATGGAAAAGTTAAAAAAGCACCAAAACATTATTTTTGGACATATTGGGGTGTATTTGGTGAGTTCGTGGCAAAAAATCACTTCGTGCTTCGGGCGGCGAACTTTTGTCAATTAATGCCAATATTGACACACGTGGGTCCAATATTTTTCACCGGAATGAAAAAAGTTCAAAAAGCACCAAAACATGACTTTTAGATATATTGGAGTGTATTGAGTGCGTTCGTGGTAAAAAATCACTTCGTGATTCGCACGACGAGGATTTGTTAATTAATGCCAATATTGGCATACGTGGGTGCGATGTTTTTGATAGAAATGAAAAAAGTTGAAAAAGCACCAAAACATTATTTTTGGACATATTGGAGTGTATTGGGTGCGTTCGTGGCAAAAAATCACATCGTGATTCGCGCGGCGAACTTTTGTCAATTAATGCCAATATTGGCACACGTGGGTCCAATGTTTTTCACCGGAATGAAAAAAGTTCAAAAAGCACCAAAACTTGACTTTTGGACATATTGGAGTGTATTGGGTGCGTTCGTGGCAAAAAATTACTTCGTGCTTCGCGTGGCGAACTTTTGTCAATTAATGGCAATATTGGCACATGTGGGTGCGATGTTTTTGACCGGAATGAAAAAGTTCAAAAGGCACCAAAACATTATTTTTGGACAAATTGGAGTGTATTTGGTGTGTTCATGGCAAAAAATCACTTCATGATTCGCGCGGCGAACTTTTGTCAATTAATGCTAATATTAGCAGACGTGGGTGCGATGTATTTCACCGGAATGAAAAATTTCAAAAAGCACCAAGACATGACTTTTGAACATATTGGAGTGTATTGGGTGCGTTCGTGGAAAAAAAATCACTTCGTGATTCGCGCAGCGAACTTTTGTCAATTAATGCCACTGTTGGCATATATTGGCAGACGTGGGTGCGATGTTTTTGACCGGAATGTAAAATTTCAAAAAGCACCAACACATGATTTTTGGACATATTGGAGTGTATTGGGTGCGTTCGTGGCAAAAAATCACTTCGTGATTCGCGCGGTGAACTTTGGTCAATTAATGCCAATATTGGCACACGTGGGTGCGAATTTTTTGACCGGAATGAAAAAGTTCAAAAAGAACCAAAAAATGATTTTTGGATATATTGGAGTGTATTGGGTGCGTTCGTGGCAAAAATGATGAGGGAGTTAGGTCCCGATCTTCCGATAGGTGTTGATAAACAGTCGATTTGGGCGGAGTCACGACACAACTCGATCCGGCTTTTGAACGAACACGCTACTGAGCCTCGCAATCGCAGCACCATGTCTCCTCTGGTTATTGTAACACCCTGAAAATTTTTGTCCTTATTTGCGAAATCAAAATTTCGTGTTAATCAAAAATCTTTTCCAAAATCCGTCGTGCTGGCTTTTATTGGACTTTATCTCCCATTTTTCGGTTACGCTTGGACCACGAGGATGGAAATCTAGGGACAAAATTTATTTTACATTCTGATATTATTTGATAAAAGAACCATGATTATGAAATATATACTAATTAAGAAAATGTTTGCAAATACCATTTGTCTTTCCGAAAACCCTTTCTATGAATTAGAAACCTATTTGAGGTATTTGTTTTATAAATGAAACAAATACTAAATATTTAGAAAACATACTTTGAGAGATATTTCCCTGAGAAAACTATCTTTACAAATGAGGGCTAATATTAGTTAACTTTTGGAAACCCTATTTTGAAATTATAAGTGTTTGGGAATTATTTTACAAATAAAGACTAGAGGGAATTTACTAGCAAAACTGTATTTACAAACTAAAATCTTAAAAGAGTTTATTTGAAAAGAATTCAGGAAAAAGTCTAGTTTTCCTCCTTGAAAGGCCTAGCCGACCTACATAATGGGATTTGTGTTGTTTGTGTGCATTTATTTGTTTGTGCCAAAGATCTCGGTTAATCCATCCTTGTGAATCCCAATCCATGTTGTATTTCCCCCGGAATCAAACTCTGTAGTTCGATCCTCCTTCTCAATCGGATCCTCCCGAACCGATTGTTCTAGCGTCTAGAATTACTCAAACTCAGTAGTTTTTCCGGAATCTCCTCTCAGGGTAATATCCATCATCGGTTCCCTCTCAATCCTCCTATACCATTGCAATACAACATCCTTTCCTTGAATCGTTGGAATACCGCGATTAAATCGATCCACCTAAAGGATGTTCTCCAATCGACATCCTTCCTTGTCATCTTTCCTCTCCGACTGATTTGTCAAGCGTTTCGGTGAAGCTAATCGAAGCCCCGAAAGCCTTTCCTTTGTCATAACATCTTTTTTCCTCAGACCGATTGAACACTGGAGTTGAACCTGAGCCATCTCGTCTATTCGACTCGGCTCTCCCCGAATTCCTTTCTTCCCTATCCCTCTTGCTCGAAATTACCGAGTTTGGCCACTCGCTCAGAACCCTAAAATTGTTCGGCGAATTGATTTGTCATATGCAAGTTCAACTATCCTCCATTCTATCTCGACCCGTGAAACCCTACCGCGCCAAATGGATTTGTGCGCCATGCGCCGCTCCTGAACTCCTCGTCGATATTGCCCTACCTTTGGAACCCTATCGCGTCCAATGGATTTGTATGCCAAGCGTCGCTTCTAAAACTCCCCGGCATTGTTGTCGTTCGTTCGCTCGATCGCTCGCAAAGAAATCCTAAATCAAGTATTTGGGCAACTAAGCGGCCAAAACAATTCCAATCCAAACCCCAGCCACTAGTGACAATCCAGAGCCAAATCAAATGTCCAATTATATAGTCCTATTACAAATTCTCAGTCCAGTTACCAATATACAGTTCATCTACAAATTCCAAATACAAAATTCTTCCCAATTCCAATCCTTACAAATACAGAGAGTCCCCATTCTGTTGGGCCTTCTTTTCCAGCCAGCCCAACTCACCCCCCAGCACAAGTATGTCTTTGCTCCCTCACCAGCTCTCCCTCTCTCTTGCAGCCAAGTCTACTCCCCCTCCTTCCTTGCCTCAGCCAGCAGGCTGACACGCCGCCCGCCACGTGCTCGGCAAAATGCCGAGTCGGGCGAGGCTGGCGCACCGGGTCACCGAGCCACCGTGCCGTGCCGCGCCGCTCCTCCTTGCGTGCGCCGCACCGCGCTCCTGCACCGAGCCGCACCGCACCGCGCTCAGTGCCGCGCCGTGCACTGACCGTGCCCCTACCAACCCAGCCGTGGGTGGATGACGGCCTTCAAGCCGAGGGCCCCGCACGACGGCCTCCCTCCTGCACCGTGCTCTTAGCCCACCAAGCACCTCCCAAATCTCTTCCCCAAACACCAAGAACACAGTGTGAGTGGTTCACACCGAACGAGAAAACTGAGTCCACACCGAATTGGAGAGCTAGTTCACAGCGAAGCTTATCTTGTAAGCCTCCTTCCTGTAGCGATGTCGACACTCGGGGCCCACATTATCGCCGTCCATCCCATCCGCCGCCGACACGTGCTTCGGGGAAGCCTTGTGACCGATGGTCACTTCGCCGCCTCCCAGGACGTCGCCCGCGTGAGCGTCGCTACTCCTCGTCCACGCCTTGCATCCTCGCTCTCCATCGGCCGCAGACGAGCGTCCGCGTGAGCTGCGTTCACGCCGCCAGCCTCGCACCTCCCCTCCACTGTGTCGATGACGACACCCGGGCCCGCGCCGCCGCCGTCCAACCTATGGACGCGCGCCACATCACCCTTCCACCACTGTGTCGATCCTTCTCCTAGAAGCCATCCGCAACCAAGCAAAACCGTGGCCATGCCCGCTATCCCCCACCATTCGCCCCCTCCAATCATCGCCACCTCTGCTCCTCTCCTGGGCCAACACCCACCGCCGCCACTGCCTCGGCGCCGCCCTTCGGAGCAGCTCGTCGGCTTCACCTCCTCGCCCCGTCTCGGCCGCCACCACGCACGGCCAGATCGGCCCCGCGCGAGTGCCATCCCCGCGCCCGGCCAAGCCGAACGCACGAGTGCCACCTTCGAGCGCGGGCGCCACCTCCAACCCCGTTGCCGAAGTTGTCGCCGTCGCCGTCTTCACCGGCACGGGGACGCCGCCGCGCCGTGTGGAGCGCCGCCTCCTCGCGTGGCCACCTCCACGCGCGCCGCCTCTGCGACCATCCAGCGGCTAGCACCTCCACCTCCGCCTCCTCTGGTCGGCGCCGCCCCGATCTCCTCCTCGCCGCGCCGACCATCTTCCCCGTCCAACCGGCGCCGCCCCGACGACCTCCGCCGTCGCCGCACAGGCCATTCCCCATCCGCCGTCACCTCAGGCCGCGCCATCGCGATCGGTCAACGGCCAGGCCGCGGCGCCAAGCGCCGAGCGCCGCCGTGTGGAGCGCCGCCTCCTCGCGTGGCCGCCTCCACGCGCGCCGCCTCTGCGACCATCCAGCGGCCAGCACCTCCACCTCCGCCTCCTCTGGTCGGCGCCGCCCCGATCTCCTCCTCGCCGCGCCGACCATCTTCCCCGTCCAACCGGCGCCGCCCCGACGACCTCCGTCGTCGCCGCACAGGCCATTCCCCATCCGCCGTCACCTCAGGCCGCGCCATCGCGATCGGTCACCGGCCAGGCCGCGGCGCCAAGCGCCGAGCGCCGCCGTGTCGCCTCCTGCCGCGCCGCTGGTGCCCCGGCCCTCTTCCTTCCCCGACGCCGCCGGGCCATCTCCAGGCTGCCGTCGCACGGGCCGGCACCCAGTCACCGCGCCGTCGCCGACCCTCGCCCCGGCCTCCCTTTCCCCACCGGCGCCGCTCCCTTTCTCCTTTCTCCTTCCCCCACCGCCGCCCAGCACCAGGCCCCCGTCGCCGGCACTCCTCTTCTCTCGGGCACGCGTGAGGAAACCGAGGCAGAGAAGGAATCGAGAGAGAGATGCGAGGAGAAGAAAGCGAGAAACAGATCAGGTTAAGAGAGAGAGGAAATAAAAGGAAAGGAAAAGAAAGGGACAGTGGGACCCACTAGGGCTCCACCATCTTGACTCCTCTCTCTGACCTCCTTTGACCTGGAAACTACCAAAAAGTCTAGCTTGCATACCTCTGTCTTCCTCGGGACAGAGCCCACTTTCAGCCCCTTTATCCACCAAAGTCCATATTACATCTCTCCAGAACCCAAGTTCCTCTCTGAAAGTCTGTATTTTCTCCCTCCTCCAAACTTCGGGCAGTAGCCCATCAGTAGTCTTCATCTCCACCCAAGTCCAATATATCTCCTCCAATCTAGAGGATCACCTTGGGTTTATTTCTTCCGAAAATAAAAGGAATCCTATTTTGGGTATCCTTTTCCTCGATTTATAAATCATCTAATCTTCGAGAATTCATATCTTGCAAACCGTGACTCCGATTGATTCCATTCAACTTCCGAAACTCTTCTAAAATCGAGATCTATCCAATGACACTGCTGGTTTGAATTGATTGGTACTTTATTTGGAGGTTGTTATATGGTTTTCTCGTGCTAACCACGTATCGAGTATTCCGGATATTCGTCGATCGTGGATTTCTCGAAGATACCGATTTCTAAAAGCAAGGCAAGTCACTACGCTCCCCTCCTTGAGCATATTGAACCCAGTTTATAAATGTTTTGTTTATAAATAAAGTTGCATGCTAATTATAAAATGGCGTGCCTAAATTGTATGTGAACCATCCTTGATATTGTTACCTTTATATATCCTTGTTGCCTGAGTCTATTATTTATGCGTGGTCAATTATTGACATTACTTAGTACTGCTTATAATTATAGACGATTGTACACTCCATAATAATTGGGTATGGATGTGTTGGTAGCGGTCACTCATCGAGAGTGATTGCCAGAAGGCGGGTGGAGACATGAGCGCCACCCGCAGCAAAAACCTTTGCGAAAACCAAAAACCTAATTAAACAAAATGTTTTCGACTGGGGCGGCATGGATAGAATATGGGTGGTTCTAGAAACGGCTAGTCGCCGACCCTGGTCAATTAAGGACCGAGTCAAGAAGCTATACAGAAAACGATTAGAGTACGACCGCACTTCTTGAGTGGGTATAGACCCGGTGGACTAAGTAAATTCTCATGGGGCGGCACCCCTGTCATGGTGGTTCCGAAGTGGTGACGTGATGGAGGTGAAGGATCGAGTGGATCGATCGTTTGGATGCCGCGGCAAAACTTAAAACACACCTAATCTATATGTAATATAACCCATTGTGATCCCGGGAGCGCCAGAACTCTCCTCACTACTGGCTCGAGGTGGTTGTTGTGCCGGGAGTGTAATGGGGATCCATAGTCCTTGGAACGGGTGCCGAAACGCGAGAATGACTGAAAAACCGGGCCATGGCAAGTCTCATGTGTTGGGACTAGGCTCATGTGTTGGGCAAGCTGCGGAGTGCGGGATTAAAAGCGTACATCCACTGCAGTGTGAGTAAATCAAATCTATTTGAATAGCCGTGCTCGCGGTTATTGAGCGCCGGGACTTGTACTACACTTGAGTAGCCTTATAGATTTTAATCTTGCTTAGATAAGGAAAGTGGTGTGACCTTGCCCGATAGGCGGGAAGGTCATGATGATGTTAAGAATGTGAAAAACTGGATGCGAGGGTAAACCGAACCAAGCGAGGCTTGGGGAAGGTGGATGAACCCTCACGGATTAATGACAACTTCAACTTAACATTGTTTTCAGTTAAAACTGCTAGGTCACAGGTTTGTGAAATGATTTGTGAAACCTAGCTTTATGCAAATAAACCAAGCCATCCTTGAACCCTTGTGTGCACTAAATGCATTCCGTAGTGGTGGCTTGCTGAGTACGGTTGGTACTCACAATTGCTTAACTAAATCTTTTAGAAAGGAGTTGGAGTCGATCATTTGGGAACTATGCTAATGAAGAGGTGTCAAAGACGGTGGAGTCAGGACCTAGGTTCACCAGTCGATGCCTGTGGAGTACGTTGGACCGCCGCTGCTTCTCTTCCGCTATCTCATCTACTTCTTTTGGTATTTTGCAATGTACATGACCATGCTCGGTCTATTTGGGTCCCATTTGGGCTACCCTTTATTATTAATGTGTACAATTCAACCTGTACATCGATGTCAGCTTGAGATATTCAACTGTGCCATGTGTGTACCATCTACTGATCCAGGGAATGGTATTGTAAGACACATGGGGTTTTCGATGTGTAAAACCGAGGGCCCACAGTTATAAGCCGTGCCGAAACCCGGTTGACCTCGCCGAGAAGGCTAATCCCTGCATGCAAATCTAAGAACACAAACAAGAACAAGATAGATTGCAATCAAATTGCATATTAATGATTAAGCACACGAATTTGGGGTTCTAGAAACCGATCTAGCGGCGAAACTGTTCTTGACAGAATAATCTAAGCAAAACCTGACTCTAAACGATGACGGCTACTGAATAAATGTGATTAGGGACGTCCTAGGGTTGCCCTATGGAGCACACCCCCTTGGGCTAAGCTCACGACACAATTACAAGGCCCAAAACCCAAGTCAAATTCGGACTGGATGAGGTACGTGGTTTGTTTTGCAGATACCCGGCAGCTCGGTAAAATTTTTGATGTGGGACCAAAACCATCTGAAAGTAGATTCTATAAGCTTTCCAACAAGTACTCATGGGCCCCGAAACTCCTTCTAGATCAGCGGCTAGGTCCGTTTGAAGTTGATGCTGTCAGGAGGCCCGAATCCGAATCCAAAATGTGTACAACTTGATCTCTTGTCTTCTATGGGCCAAAAGTGACGTGGTGAGGTAGACGTAGACTTGGAGAAGGTCTTGGTTTAGGCACCAATCAACTTCTTTGATCATCCATGCATTTATTATGCTCGGTCTCTTTTCCTTCGCCCAAACAAGTACCTCTGCAAACAAAAACACACAAAACTCATTGTGTAGCAACATTTGTTCAAATATATAACATGTAAATATAATGTAGAACATATGTACCTTTGGTTGATTAATACATAAGGTAGTCATGGTTATATTCGAACTAGTTGTGTCCTCATCATCCTCCCCTTCTTGATTGGAAACCGTTCTCGGTTTCACCTTGACATGGAGCATTTTGAACTTATCTTTTTCTATCACAACATCCGGTGAGGAACATTTCTTGACAGCCATATGGTTGGATCCTGAAATCTTTTTAGTCGAAAAACCACAACACTCCCTTTCTTGCAAACCAACTTGTAACTCATTTAAACGACTAGAGGAACTTGATAGAGAATTACGTATGCACATGAGGTCCTCAAGACAATACATTTCATCATGAAAAAGAGGTATAGTCAAATTCGAACAAATATATACTCGATGCACATTATATTCTTCTTTACTATCATAATTGCCAATAATATGAAAAATCACATCAAAAGGGCATGGCAATTCAAATCTAGTAAATAATTTCTTCTCTAAACAGTTGAGTGGATAAAGATCATCAAATTGAATATAACCCCAAGTATTTAAAGAATATAGCAATTTAAACTCTTCATTCTTGCTAGCAATGTGAATAACATGTTTAAACTCAACACGTAGTGGCTCTACTATAGAACTAACATCATTCACTAGTTCTGGCATGGATATAAGTAAAGCATCGCACAACTCTTCTTTATCACAAGTGTATTTGTTTTGTGACAAAGGCATTTCAACAATTGTTGGATATATTAGAGTGTATTGGGTGCGTTCGTGGCAAAAACTCACTCCGTGATTCGCGCGCCGAACTTTTGTCAGTTAAAGCCAATATTGGCACATGAGGGTGCGATGTTTTTGACCGGAATGAAAAAGTTTAAAAAGCACCCAAACATGATTTTTGGACATATTGGAGTGTATTGGTTGCGTTCGTGGCAAAAACTCACTTCGTGATTCGCGCGGCGAACTTTTGTCAATTAATGCCAAGTTGGCCGACACGGGTGCGATGCTTTTGACCGGAATGAAAAAGTTCAAAAAGAAACAAAACATGATTTTCGCACATATTGGAGTGTATTGGGTGCGTTCGTGGCAAAAACTCGCTTCATGATTCGCTCGGCGAACCTTTGTCAATTAGTGCCAATATTGGCATATTTTGGCCGACACGGATGAGATGTTTTTGACCGGAATGAAAAAGTTCAAAAAGCACCAAAACATGATTTTTGGATATATTGGAGTGTAATGGGTGTGTTCGTGGCAAAAACTTACTTCGTGATTCACGCGGCGAACTTTTGTCAATTAATGCCAATATTGGTCGACATGGGTGCGATGTTTTTGACCGGAATCAAAAAGTTCAAAAAGCACCAAAACAAGATTTTTGGACATATTGAATTTACTGGGTGCGTTCGTGGCAAAAACTCACTTCGTGATACGCGCGACGAACTTTTGTCAATTAATGCCAATATTGGCCGATATGGGTGCGACGTTTTTGACAGGAATGAAAAAGTTAAAAAAGCAGCAAAACATGATTTTTGGACATATTGGAGTGTATTGGTTGGGTTCGTGGCAAAAACTCACTTCGTGATTCGCGCGACGAACTTTTGTCAATTAATGCCAATATTGGCCGATATGGGTGTAATGTTTTTGACCGCAATGAAAAATTTCAAAAAACAGCAAAACATGATTTTTGGACATACTGGAGTGTATTGGGTGCGTTCATGGCAAAAACTTACTTCATGATTCGCGCGACGAACTTTTGTCAATTAATGCCAAAATTGGCCGGCATGGGTACGATGTTTTTGACCGGAATCAAAAAGTTCAAAAAGCACCAAAACATGATTTTTGGACATATTTGACTTTATTGGGTGCGTTCGTGACAAAAACTCACTTCCTGATTCGCGCGGCGAACTTTTGTCAATTAATGCCAATATTGGCTGACATGGGTGCGATGTTTTTGACCGGAATGAAAAAGTTCAAAAAGCGCCAAAACATGATTTTTAGACATATTGGAGTGTATTGGTTGCGTTCGTGGCAAAAACTTACTTCGTGATTCGCACGATGAACTTTTGTCAACTAATGCCAATATTGGCAAATTTTGGCCCACACGGATGCGATGTTTTTGACCGGAATGAAAAAGTTCAAAAAGCACCGAAACATGATTTTTGCACATATTAGACTTTATTGGGTGCGTTCGTGGCAAAAACTCACTTCGTGATTCGCGCGGCAAATTTTTGTCAATTAATGCCAATATTGGCCGACATGGGTGCGACGTTTTTGACCGGAATCAAAAAGTTCAAAAAGCACCAAAACATGACTTTTGGACATGTTGGAGTGTATTGGGTGCGTTCGTAGCAAAAACTCACTTCGTGATTCGCGTGGCGAACTTTTGTCAATTAACGACAATATTGGAAAATTTTAGCCCACACGGATGCGATGTTTTTGACCGGAATCAAAAAGTTGAAAAAACACCAAAACATGATTTTTGGACATTTTGGAGTGTATTGGGTGCGTTCGTGGCAAAAACTCACTTCGTGATTCGCGCGGCGAACTTTTGTCAATTAATGCCAATATTGGCCGACATGGGTGCGATGTATTTGACCGGAATGAAATATTTCAAAAAAGCACCAAAACATGATTTTAGGACA